TGAGGTACCTTGGTATGCTGTGGTCCCGGCGAGCGTATTTCAAGTGTCCAACACTATCCGTCTGTGTTCACCCAGACACAGTTTGGCTTTGTGTATTGTTATCGAGGAAGAACAAAATACCTTAGAACAAGAGATGAAAGTCCATGGCGGCCCAGACCGCGGGCTAAAATAAGCGAGAAAGTACTCCGTACCAACGTCAAGTTCGGCCGGGTCTGGCCTCCACTCCTTCGCAGCATACCTTCCAAAATACAGTGCTCCGGTTCGGCCCAATCAAGTCAGCAGCAGACCTCTCACCTTCAATCGCCTCGCATCGCCTTGTCCTAGGCGCCACTGGAGCACGCCCTGCATCGTGGGGAATCTCGATCGAGATCTCACAGAATTTCCATATCTTCCGCCCAAAGCCCCATTCGGCCTTCCCGGGCAGTTTCGACCGCCGATCTTCCTCCAAGACGACGCAGGAGGCACAACTGAATGACTTGGCTTTCGCCAGCATCGCGAACACCACTCGCCAGCACTGCGTGCGCGCTTGCGTTGCCATCCAGGTTGTGTGAGCAGCCTCGGCCTCAAGCTCTTCCTTGCTGACTGACATTGTCGGTGACGCCAGCTCCGTTTTCGAATAATCTACCTTATTTCTGCATCTCGGCTCGGATTGCTGCTGCCGCTCCTGCTGCTCTTGACGCTTGTTAGAGCGTAAGAAGAAACGCTCCGAGCCTTTCAGACGCCACCTCACGAGCCGTGAGACCTACCATTTGGTTACCATCCTCAGCGGTTGCTGCTACCTACCGTCTGAATCCGCCGCACCGACGTTGCACCCATTTATTTTGAAGTTCATGGGTCTGGACATCACGGCATTCCGTCCCCGCTCTCAGTGAACCGCCGTTGGCAGGACCACACCATCACAAGCAATCAAAAAAAGCCATGGCATTGTCACCGGGTGGCATCGTTTCGGCTCAGCTAGGCTTCCTTGCCATCTTCAACCCATCGTTGGGTCATTCTGATGAGACTCTTGACGATCAAATTGTTTACTACTCTTCAGTCAACACCCAACGACATAAACGGCGTCACCGCTCACGTGCAAAGCCAACTGAGAATCTGTCTCAAGAGGAGCGCAATGAGCGTCTTCGTCAGATTGGTCTTGCCCAGGGCATGGTCGAGTTCAGCAAGAGCTTCTCTGGCGGCCAGCCTGTCGACTCCATCGACACGGACAAGACACGTGTGATCCTCCATGAGCTGGAGCAAGACTGGTGGATTCTTGCGGTACGTTTCTCCTTACACTGCTTTGTTTCCTATTGCTGATTGCCTGCAGTCCATTGATCTTACTCGTATTCCTTTGCCGCCCAAGCTTCAGACAGGGAAAGCACAAGAAACCCCAGAAGAGGTTGTCGAGTATTCATCTAAGGAGATTAAGCCGTCATCTCTTCTGTTGCAGGATCTGCTCCGTGCTCATACTATCTTTCTGCTTCATCATGGCACCTCACTCAGTGCCCTGTTTGTTCGCTCCCGAAGAATGAGTTTCCTCAGCCTGCTTGGTCGGTATTGGGACCTATTTTTGTCAACTTGGAACGTAATGTTACAAGGGAACCCAATTCGCACAGTATTTGGAGGCATCAACATCGCTGCGTCTGGCGAACTGGGCATTGGCGTCGGCGAAGAGGAGCGGGGCAGTGGGGAACGAGAGGTGTTGGAAGGGCTCGTCACTAGAGTTGAGGGTCTTAAAGACCTGGTGGTCTCAAAATTTGGATCATTGGATGCCGATGGGGAGTCGAAAACCGGGAAGGAGCCGAAGAGGTCCTGGCTGGGTACAGGAGAAGATCCAGGTCCTGAAGACGGTGCCATTTTTCTGGGGACAGGAGCGTTATCTCGCAAGTCCGTGAGAGATATCACCCTATGGATGGAAGACTTGTATACATGGGGAGAAAACGCCTACGGCGTCATTGATAGTCCGACATCTCTTCGCGCTGGCCGACGGGTGAAGAGATCTGAGCCGGTCCCGGAAGCCAAATCAGCACCAGCCCCGGCGCTTACAACGAAGCCACCAGTACGGCCGCCGGTTCGCCCCAACAATCATCGATCAAATTCTGGCTCTGCTTCTGGGAGCTCGACCTCGACGAGAACACTGGCTGAGCGGCGTGGGCTTGATATTGGTACGGTGAAAGAAGCCAAAAGGCCAAGTGACACCAAGGACAATTCGGCCCCCGTTCCCGAGATCGGCGACACCGAAGCCGACACTGTAGCCGCTACCGGCTCTACCGCTACGCCAACTCAAGGAGAGGGCGATGGCCACATGGACAAACTTATGACGGTCATGAAGTTGGGGTACGGCACGTATTGGTCAATCGGCAAATCGGATACTTCTTCGTCTGCGGTTAAGAGCCAACTATCTGCCGTTGCTGCGTTTCAAACTGGGGAGTCCTCTAAGGCTGCGGTGAACCCGCATGTGAAACCTAAGCAGATGGAAGATGACGAGGGACATTACCTCATTGGCCTGATGGGCGATGTTGAGGAGGGTAGTGGCGATGAGGAAAACGGAGCCTCAGATGAGGCAGCTGAGCCCGAATCGAACTCTCGTACCATGCTACGCACCGTCCACGTTGAGCTTGACAAAGTTGGCACGGATCGCCTAGAAGCAGATGTCGTGAGGAACCTCGGCAACCTCACGAACGATGTGACGCCTCTCGGAGCCAACGCTGTGAGCTCGAACCCGACATTTGGAAACCAGGACTCAAACAAAGCAAGCAAGATGCGCGTCGTCGTTTACGTAAACAAACCCTTCATATTTACTTTCCTCTTTGAGTTGAGGACCGACTCGCTGGCCTGGAACTCGTTCTACAAGTCTCTTCATTTCCAGTTGGCACCTTTACGAAAGCCACTTTTATCTTCGATCCAATATCGGCCAGATAGGCCGGAGTCCAGTTCTTCATCGTCCAACATCTACGATCTCGTATGGGACGCTGAGGCTATGACGGTACATTCGACCATACCAAATATTCCGGACCACACACAAGCATTCCTATCAAACGCACCATTACCATGGTCAAGAGTGGAGGCCATGAACACACACATGCAACTACTCAACATTTTCAACCTCACCAGGCCGGAAATGAATCAGCTCGAGAGGACCTGCAAGACCAATCGTGGCTGGTGGGTCGTCTGGCAGCGCATCCTGAATCGACACGCCACGAGCGACGAAGCATTTCAGCCAGCGCAGAACTACGAGGACGGCGCCCAGTCGACGTCGGATAGGGACGTTTCCCCAGCGAGCGGCGATGATTCCAGCACAGCGCGGCCGGCATCGCCTACGCCGCCGAGCCCGACGGTCAGTAAGGAGATTATCCTGATCCGTAGGGCGAGCGATCACGCCGGCTACCGCGGCGTCAGCTCGTCGTTCGCCGAGGGCGGCATAGGACTGACGGGATCTGGGTGGGGCGGTGACGGCGCGGGCCGTCTTGCGTCGGGGATCGGCATTGACACACGGAAGTATATTGAGGGGCTCTTGAACTTTAGCCGGTGAAGAACATGATGTAGTTGCTCTAGAACTCTCCAAAATCTAGGGCGGCCGGGGCGGTGGTCAATTTTCCTTCCTTTCTCCAACTTCTAGGTTGAGAGACACGCGGAGTACGCGGGGAGCGCAAAAACGGATTAGCTACGGCTGTGGCGTTGGGTTCGTGTCAATAACAGGGGAGACATCATGATACGCATCAGCGGTGGACTTTTTTTTCCCCCCTCGTCAAGAACATGATTAGATGAGGGTAATTTTTTGTCAATGAATGACCAAAGGTCGATATCTCATGACCGTGCGTAAACCCATTGCACTCGAGTAACGTCATGATTCCTTTCCTGGCGTACTTTTTAGGACGAAAGTGCCCGGCTTGGCTTCGGGCTAATTTTGAGTCCACGGCGTGTGTCTGTGTGTCTGCTCTGCTTTGCTACACTACCTAGACTTGTTAGTAACAGCAGGTCATAATTTCTGCGCTAGAGAAATTGTAATTCTTCTATTGCCGCAGTAGCTTGACAGCGGCTCGGTAGCCATGACGCCATGGGATCTAGAAGTGTGACGCGTGACATTTTGGATCTGGGTATTGAGTTGAGTGTGAGTAAGTGTCCTAAACGTCACGATCCAGGGCAGTAGTGTAAGGCGAGCAGAATCGCCTTCGGCCCTGGGCAGGGGGCTTCTGAAGGCGACAACAGATGAGTAGTTGATTACGTCTAGAAATGGGACATCAGAGGGCTTATGAAGAATGGATGATCGCTTGGCAGAGCAAGCTACCTAGACGAAAGAGCTGCAGGGTGACGCCAAGCCCTTTACGTTGGATGAATGTGTTTTCTTTTGTCGTTGCCGCCAGTCTCAATGGCTGCTTCACTGATAGCGGCAAAATACGTCTCAGAAGCTGAGAGTCGATTTTGGTGAGGGAGAAACAAAGGCCATGATACTTCCAATGCCACTAATGAGCGGCTGAGGTCTCTTATCGCTCCGTTTTATGTCCCTAATGAAACTAAATGAAAGTTAGAGAGCAAGAGACTAAATGGAGATGTACGAAGATTTAAAGAGATCTTCTTAACCTCTATGTTCATATGATGATAATTGTAGCTAGATACTGTCCGCTCTCAAGCGACAAAAAAAGGTCAATCAGGACTTAGGGGACTGTGGACTGGTAGCGCTGATTTGAGGGTGTAAATCATGACCGTGAGTTCACCACGCCGGAAGCTTGTTGAATAGTACGCGGGTGTGACTGTTTGTCCGTGGGGAAGCCACTGGGGGATTTGCTGCTCCTGCGTTTTCTGTTATTTACCTTGATTATCATGACTCCTGGCTGAATATCTGTGAGGGTCTAGATGGATGGCAGCTCAAGTTCGACGCGACAGACTTTCCCAAGCGCGGGATATGCTGGCTTCACCTTGTTTCACCGAATTAGTCGCACAAGGTTCGATAGGACGACAGCGATCGCAACAAGGGTACAGAAACAATGAGCCGGGGCTTAGATGTGTTGTGGATGGTCGAAATGGATGCTTTCTCTAGGGGTGGTTGCTGGGCTGCGGCCGACTTCCCCCAAAGCAACAGCGAATCGCCAGGAAGAGAGGGGGATTTGCTGCAGGGGCCGGAGAACGTACGGCAGACAAGGCGAAGAAGGAGGGGCAAGAGGATTTCCAAGGATCCCAGAGAAGTGGGAGGGGGACTGCGAGGCTCTTCACCTGCCAACCGGCATCACCCCGCCGGTAATAACCTACGGAGTGCAGCATGTTGGGGTTCTCTGTACTTCATAGGGAAGGTGGGGAGAGGGTCTGACAGAGTTGACAGGGCTCAGAGCACCGAGAAAAGTCTTTTCACCTTCCATCCCTACAACAGGAAAGCTGGATGGGAAACTCATGAACCCTGCAGGAAGGGCGAAAACAGAGCCACAATTGCCAATGAGAGCCGCGCAACCACGAGCGCTGCGGCCTTGCTTCCTTTTGCTTGCGGCCTCCCAAGAGTTTCCCAACAAGTCCACAAGTTGGACGAGAAGAGGGCCCAGTGGTCCACGGCTTTCGGGCACGTCGGGAGAGGCGCCACCAGAAACGCGCCACCATCTGTAAGAAATCTTTCCCTCTCAGCCCCGAGTTGCTCACCCCCCCTGCAAAGTTCTACTGCCTTGGTTTCAGAAGCTAGCTGTTGCCAGTTGGATATGCCCTATCCGTCAGTACGGGGCAGGTCGGTGGGCGCGAAATGTATGACGGTCGCGGATGTCCCAGGGATTCGTTGGGCTGAACGCGGTCTCGTCCAAGCCGTCTAGCGGCATCGTCGGAGCCGTCTTGGACCCTTGGATGATGCCATTGGACCGCGTTAGGCATGTCAGGCGCTCGAGCAACATCAAGCTTGAAGCTGCAAAGCAATGCGTGGAAGCTCGCGCCCTACCGGACGGTGTCATGTACGGTGTCTTGCGTGTGCGCATGTGTAAGTACATCGAGGCTCAGATGCCAGTAGATAGAGCACGGAACTGAGGTAGGTAGGTGGGGGGAGGTACGTACCGTGTTAGTGTTGATGGTGTTGTGTTGTGTTTTGCGCGCGTGAAGGAAAGACATTGGCTGGTGAGGTCATAGTTCCCGCAAGTGCCGATCCATCATCGAAGCTCTATCTCCCTCTTGTCCTTGTCCGCGCGCAGCTTCCGCAGCAGCAGCGCACAATCTCCATGCCCGGTGCCGAAAGAGTTCTTCTTCACCTTACACAGTAGAGGCGGCTTAGGTTAGGTTCCCATCCATGTCCGACTGACTTTTTAACCTGGGAAGAACCCTCCTCGACCGATCCCATCCCACCCTCCCAACTTATTAAAGATACCCTTGTCTGCTGCTCATTGCGACTGCCTTTCCGCCACGACCTTAATCACCCGACAACCAAAGTCCAGATCCAGAACTGTCTTATTTGTCCCACGCCACCCCTCAAGACTCTGTTCGACTGTTGTCCTCCTCCACATTACACACACAATTACAGTCCGAAATCAACATTTCGTTGTTTGTCTGACAATACCAACAGCAAAGATTCACCATCGTCATCAAGCACCAGTCACGCCACAGCATCCAGCTTCGTCTTAGACACAGCTATAAACAAATCGTCGACACCAATTACACATTCCGGTGCTTATAGAGAACCGTCCTCTCGACTTTTTCAAGCTCTCTAGATACCTGAAATCGCTCTTGCCGAATACTCACGACAGGCGATACACAACCAGCCCAACATGATGGAATCAATGTTGCAGGTCCTCGTCCGAGGTGTACAGATCCTCTGGGTCCTCCTCGTCACAGCATTGATCGGCAATGTCATCGCTCTCAACATCAACAGCGCCGGCTCCGCTATGGCCGCCATCAATTTCTCCATGTTCGTCGCCGTCCTCAGCTGGCTGGCGGCTCTGTACGGCCTTGCCGCTGCCTTTGTCTCGGCCATCGCCATTCCTATTGTGTTGTTGGCCCTTGACGGCGCAGCCATTCTCTTCACCTTCATCGATGCTATTGTTCTCTCGGCCAAGCTGCGCGCAGTCAACTGCGGCTCTCTGAACAGAAGCAACCTGCCGAGCGATTACATCGTCTGGGGTTCCGGCGACGATGAGAAGCGATGCCGCGAGATTCAGGCCAGCACCGTATTCATGTGGTTCCTGTTTGCTAGCTTCTGCGCAGGAGGCTTCTTCACCTTTATGAACTTCCGTCGCGGCGGTGGCTCTGTCCGCAGCTCCCGCCCTAGCATGGCCCAAGTGGGCGTCTAAGTCTACGACTTTCTCAACTAAGTGCGGCGCAGACTCTGCAAAATGAAATAGAGAACAAACGGGGTATGGAATTGGACAGGCCGGCTGGGTAGGACATTTGGTCATCGCAAGACTTGCAAAAAGACCACCGAGTCCTGACGGCGTTGGCGGCATGTTATTGATAACTTTACCTTTCACGATGGCATGTAGTAATAATGAATGACTGGATATGGGTATGGGATGACATGGATATATCGTCAGGGATACAGCGGGGCCTATGATGCCTTGGGAGCTGGGGCATTGGCCACGGAGCCATCAGCAGCTCTTTGTAGTACAACAACGAATTGATACCATTCCACGACTTTACCCTTTACCTACTACACGTGACCCATTAAGGATCATAGGATATGAATTACGTATTCACCTCCGAGATTGACCAAATCGATACTGAGCATACTGCGATCGTGAGCTAGTTGACCCCCTTGGCATCGAGATATGCTTGATAAATTCGTTCAAACGTTCGATTTAGATCTAGTCTTTTGGACCGGGCTGGATGCCTCGCCTCAATATGTGCCGCCTGGTCTTCTATGACGGCTTGCCCTCAACGCCAACCATGTATACACGCCGAACACCATGCAGGATGTTGCGGGCTTGGTAGTAGAATGCCCAAAGTCTCGTTTTTCCAAAGAGCCCAGTAAGCCCCAAAATGCGCTTCTTATAATGTTGCCGCTGCCTCAGCCGCGCCGGCGGCCTTGAAGGCGCCCTTGTTCGTCCACCGCACCTCGACGTTGTGCATCCATTCCATGTATCGTGACCAGCCTGTGGGTATACCGTGTCAGCATCTTGAACGATGACGAGAGACTTGAGAGACCGGGGCGAGGCTTACTCCAGTATGCAAACTTGCGACCAAAGTATTTGCCGGCAAAGGGAACAATGACCATGGTCAAGAGGAGCTGGACCTGCTCCAGACTACGCTCCCACTCCTCCTGGGCGTCTGATTCATCCTCGGAGTCTAGCACGCTGCTCGATATTGAAGGCAGGGAGTCAATCTCGTCGTTATCGGAGGAAGGTGAGACGTCGTCGTGCAGGATGAAGGAGTCGGTGGATGCCATCATGTCGGGGGAAGGCAGGCGTCGTCGGCAGCTCGGTTCTTGGGTTCAGGTGCGTTGAATGAATCGGGGGAGGAGGATATCGAACTCGGTCGGCACGCTGCTTCTCGGAAATAGCTAGGGTCTGTCCCTTGCACGCGTCCGCTTGATGTTCCTAGCTGTTGTGATACAAGACAACCCTCTTGATGGGCGTTCGCAGGGGACGGTTGATTCAAGGTCCGCGATGTCTCTCCAATGGTTAATGCCGGTGCAGCTTGAATGGGCCAACAGCGGAGATCGGAACGCCTGGAGCTCTCTCTCCCCCGTTTCCTCAACCAGAAACGGCAATCAGGACGGCCACTCGCAGACGTTGGGACCTCGATTGTAATTGGCTTGCAAGTCGCTTTTGATGGGTCCTACTAACGCTGCAGGCGAGGGGGCATGGTGACAGACGGCAACGGGCACAAACGGAAAGAGTCACCTTGCGGTCACGTGAGACGTACAATCACTGAGTCACAGCCCACCCTCACCTGTCGGGCGCGCAGCCGCTACCTTACAGTGGGCAAAGATAGTCGTCTTCCACCCTCACGTCACACCCCCTCAAGAAAATCTCCCAACTGCTGCAGCCAATTCTCAACTCTGCTCTCACAAATTCGCATTACCGAACCATTTTGTGACGGACCACAGACAGCCTCCTTCCACCATTTCACAGACCGGTCGTTTGGGATTTCTGCACCACATCGCGCCGACAGTAGACTCATTCAGTCGCACCGTGGACCAGCCCAGATTAATACCAGCCCAAAGGAATTCGCCAGGCGCCGCCCCAGGATACCTAACCGAGACTCGGTTCAGTGAGACACAGGCCGCAATCATGGATGTCGAAGTAAGTTACCGTTGCTAGCCCTCCCTCATGCGCACTTCTGAGCACCACCACCCACTGGCCCCTCCACCAATCCCATGCTTGATTACCCCACTGCGAACCGGAACCAGACACGAATTGAACAGAACATTTTCCGTGACTCAACCTCTGTCAAACCGCCTGAGCTGCTGGACATCATCACCACCTGACCGTTGTTCGACCCCCCGTCCCCTCCTCTACTGATCCAGTTTTTTTTTTCTTCAATTCCTCAAACGGAGAAAAAAAAAAGACCCAAACACCATCGAATATCGTTTTCTAACATAGGTGCCTCCCCCCACAGGATACCACTCCCGCCCCCGAACGCAAACAGCGCAAATCCGTCGCCTTCACAGACGAGCAAGTAGTAGTCGACGCAGACGGTTCAGTCACAATGGTCAACGCCACCGAGGAACCCAAGGAGACAGCCCAGTCGCACACGCCCCGTACGCCGCCGCTTACCGCAGCCCTTGAAGCCTTACATGCTGATGCCAATTCTCAAGCTGGAGCCGAAGATGCGACGGCCCCTGTCCCCGATGTTGCTGAAGATGGCGGGCTCGACTTGTCAATGAAGAAAAAGAAGAAGAAGAAGGTTCCCAAGGAAGGTGACGACGCTGAGGAGGCTGCCGCTGGCGAGGACGGCGGTCTTGACCTGTCGATCAAAAAGAAGAAGAAGAAGACGAAGGTTCCCAAGGAGGGCGATGAGGACGAGTTCGCCGCTAAGCTCAAGGCCCTGGAGCTCGAGGGTAAGGAGGAGGGCGCCGAGGCCGAGGGTGCTGCCGACGATGGCGACATGGACCAAGGTACCGGTATCTGGCAGCATGACGAGACCAAGGCCCTCAGCTACAGCCTGCTCCTGAACCGCTTCTTCCACCAGCTGTCTCAGAAGAACCCCGACCACGCTCTGAGCGGCTCCAAGAGCTACAAGATCCCGCCCCCGCAGTGCATGCGTGAAGGCAACAAGAAGACAATCTTTGCCAACATTGCCGAAATTTGCAAGCGCATGAAGAGAACCGAGGAGCACGTCACAGCCTACCTCTTCTCCGAATTGGGTACCAGTGGTTCCGTCGACGGCAGCAGACGCCTTGTTATCAAGGGTCGTTTCCAGCAGAAGCAGCTCGAGAACGTGTTGCGCAAGTACATTAGTGAGTCTTTGCTCGATGCCCCTGACGTTTGCTGCCGCGTAGATGCTGACCAAAGTTCTTTTCTTTCCCTACAGTCGAGTACGTCACCTGCAAGACCTGTAAGCTTACGAACAAAATACCCCACCCTTGCGTCTCGTTGCGATTACTGACAACCGACCCCAGGCAAGTCCGCCGACACCGAGCTGTCCAAGGGAGAGAACCGTCTGTACTTCATTACTTGCAACTCTTGCGGGTCGAGACGTTCCGTCACTGCCATCAAGACCGGTTTCTCCGCCCAGATCGGAAAGAGAAGAAAGATGCAGGGTTAAGCAACGACAACCAAATTACGACCCCACGGACCAGAAACGAGAAAAGAGTTGGAGAGGTGTTTCTTCTACGCTATTTACGTCCTTTAGCGTACTCTTGTCTTGTAGATATGACCTTCGCTGGCCCAGGCAGTGTGCACTGCGGCATTCACGGCTGCGGCGCTCCGGGTGGCCAATGGATTGATGGCACAATAGAGAAAATTGGCGTTTCCACCCTTAAAAATTGGTACGGTAGTCGGGCAGTAATGTCAAATTTCTTGATGATGCTCATGTCTTCGGCATTTTTTTTTTGAACACGCGTATCTGCAGTAACCAGCAGTCTGTGGAAATCTACGACAGCAGTGACGCAGGCCGCGGACGTGTGTCGATGATGCCGCGTTTCGGCTTTCGTACGGTGGGAGGAAGGGCCGGAGGGGCAAAGCCGGCCGACCTCACATGTGCGGCGACCTATAGTCAATCACCACCACCACCACCACTTTTCTCGCCTAGGCACATGACTGATCAGTTCACGCGACCAACATCACATAAATACCAACATTGACGACTGCATTTCACACAGAACTTTGGCTGCAGTAAAAGTCTCTAACATCTAATTCACGACATTCAAAAAACGGCACATCGCGGTTTTATAAAGCTTACCAATAACCCCTCAACCCCGATAAGAAACCCCGAGCATCTCAACCTAACCCTCAACAAGCAAAGCAATGACAGGCGAAACCCTCCAGCCGGGCCAAGCCGACCTGCCCTCGGCGAAGAGCACGGCGTCGTACTGGCACCGCGAGCCTTCCAAGACGCTGCTTGGCCACAGGACCACACGGGACCTGCCGCCGACCGCGGACGTCGTCGTCGTCGGCAGCGGCATCACGGGCGCGTTCGCTGCCAAGGAGTTGCTGGACCGGGCTGGTGCCGGCGCTGGTGGGGAGGGGAAGAGGGTTGTTCTGCTTGAGGCGCGGGAGGTTTGTTGGGGGGCTACTGGACGGGTGAGTTCTTTCAATTTCTTGTGTATTTTGAGAATGTCTCGTTATGGAGGTTCTTCCATTGTTTGGAGGGGCTTAGACGGGGGTGACTTCCTTATCATCGTCTCACTCACTCATACACGCCATACTATCTATCCCCACCAACATCCCAAGCCCTCCGATTTACCTTAAAAAGGAACCTTTAGAACTAACTTGATAATCCAGAACGGCGGCCACTGCCAGCCGGTAGCTTACAACCCAAACACCGCCATCGCAACCTTTGAGCTCGCAAACTACGCCCACATCCGTGACCTCATCGCCAGCAATGCCATCCCCTGCGACTGGGTCTCCCTCCGCGGCGTTCATGCCCTGCTGACGCCCGATCTCGTCGACGCCGCTCGCAAGCAAATCGCCGCATTGCCGCCCCGCTTCGCGTCGCTCGCGCGCCTCGTCACGGACGCGGAGGAGCTCGCAGACCTCAGGATCCCGGACGCCGCCGGCGCCGTCGTGCAGGAGGAGGCGGCAAGCGTGTGGCCCTACAAGCTCGTGTCGTGGATCTTTGAAGATCTGCTGCGGAGGTTCGGAGTGGACAAGGCTGACGTGGACACTTTGACGGGAAACGTCGGGCAAGGTGTCTCCTTCAACATCCAGACCTCCACGCCCGTAACACGACTCCAACACCTTGCCCCCTCAACCCCGTCCGGCACACCATCATGGATCCTCCACACCCCTCGCGGCCAAATCGCCACCGCACAAGTCCTCCTCGCCTCAAACGCCTACACCTCGCGCCTCCTCCCCCGCTTCGCAGACCTCGTCGTCCCCGTCCGAGGTCAGGTCGCCGCCCTCTTCCCGCCCCGGCCGCGCGCCGAGCTCGGGAGGAGCTATGTCTTCATGGCGAGCTCCGACGCTGCGAAGGGTGAGCCTAACCAGGATGATTACCTCATACAACGGCCCGGCCCCGGGCTGGAGATGATTCTGGGCGGTGGGCGGGCGAATGGGACGCTGCGCGGGGTGGGTATTTCTGACGATGACGAGGTTGATCCTGTTGTTGCTTCGTATTTGAGGCGGGCTGGGGCGAGAAATCTTGATCTTGCTCACACTACTGATACTGGTCGCACTAATACGGCCACGGGAACAGGGCAGACGCAGACGGAGGCGCAAGAGGAAGAGGACAGCGCCACCAACGCCAATAGCAAGAAGGAGCTACAAGCGAGTCACGAGTGGACGGGCATCATGGCCTTCTCGCGCGACGGCAGGCCGTGGGTGGGACAAGTGCCCGCCGGGACCGTCCTCGGCGGCGGAGAAGGGCTGTGGGTCTGCGCCGGGTATACCGGGCACGGGATGCCGCAAGCCGCGCTGTGCGGGCGGGCTGTGGCGGGTATGATGATCGGCGGCGGCGGCGACGGCAGCAGCAGGAGGGAGGATGACGTGGATGGGGAGGAGAGGCTTCCGGCTGAGTTCTTGGTTAGTGAGGAGAGGGCTGAGAAGGCGAGGGCTTTGCCTTCCATCAAGGAGATGGATGACTTGGATATGTTCTTGTTGTAGACAAAGGTGCCTGTCATGGCGAATCTCTGTGCAACTTCGGATAAGGGGCGTGTGTAAACGGTGCAGTTCCTCTGCGAGTTTTCGACATCATCCTCTGTACAGCATAGGTAGCTCTTGCAGCTACAAAAGCCCCCAGTCTGTGGCAATGAATAGATCATCTAGACCTCGTCTTCCAACTCAA